TCTCTCTCTCTCTCTTTCTCTCTCTCCATGTTTTCTCTAAATGTACCCCTGGCTGTCCTGGAACTCGCTTTGTGGACCAGGCTGTCCTCAAACTCACAGAGATCCACTTGCCTCTTCCTCCAGAGTGCTAGGATTAAAGGCTACCCCCACTAGATTTTAAAATAAAATTTAAATTACGTTTTATCAGTTTTTCTGTGTGTGTGCTGAGGTCAGAGAACAATTTGGGACTGGCTCTCTCCACCCACCAAGTGCGTCCCAGAGATCCAGCTCCGGCTCTCAGGCTTGGCAGCAAGCCCCTTTCTCAGCCGAGCCCTCTTGCTGGTCCAACAAAGTAAAGTTCTGCTCCGTTTTCCTGCAATGTGGGCGTGGAGCCAGGGCCTCGGCATGTTGGGCAAATGTTCTACCCTGAACTACATACCAGAAGAACAATGGGGTTTTCTCTTTTTCTCTTTTCTTCTTTGTTTGTTTGAGGCAGTCTCTGTAGCTGAGTCTGATTCTGGACTCCTGGGTCTCCTGCTGTCTCCAGTACGGGTCGACAGGCCGGCACCACACTGCCCGTGCCTGCGGTGCTGGGAATGGACCCCAGGGCTGCCGGGCAAGCAGAGCCTCTACCCTGTGAACCACAACCCCAATAACAGGTTTCTTTGTGCTGTTTTGCCTTTTAGTTTCTGTCTCGCCTTTGCTTCCATCCCCGCCCCCAGTCTCCCCCTCCCCACGCCCCGCCCCAGGAGTCTTCTACTCTGTAGCCCGGACTGTCTTCAAACTCACAACTGTCCCCTGCCTCCACCTCCCCAGTCTGACTGACATCTTATTCCATCACCCTCTGCGTCTTGCTGATCCGACCTGGACCATGCACCGCCCCCCACCCCCATCCTCAGCGCCTCGCTGATCCGACCTGGACCACGCACCCCCCCATCCTCAGTTCTCCCTTTTGCAGTTTGGGTGACCCCCAAACACAGTCCATCGTGGCTCCAGGAACGCACATGGCGGGTCCTGTCACCCACCCGTGTCCCCTGGGGTGCAGGTAGCCACGTGGATCGGGTGGGTGTGGATGTCCGGTTGCCCGTCGCTAGGCTTGCCCCCAGGCGGCTGCTGGACACCCAAGGCGGGCTTGGCGGTGACCTTGGGCTGCAAGGGCCCCGGGCCCGGGTCCCAGCGGGCGGGGCGGGCGGGGCGGAGCGCGGCTGGGGCGGGGACATCGGGACTGCGGCGGCGCGGACAGCAGCGCAGACGGGGACCACAGCGGCCCAGGTAGGCGGCAGGGCGGCCGCGGCCACCGAGGGTGGGGAGGGGTCCCCAGGCCACCATGATCCCTTTGTTCCGGCCCACCCTCCCAGGCCACCGCGCCAGGTCCTGCGTGTCCCCGGTCGTCCTGTAGCCACCATGGACAGCTCCCGGTCGCCCCACCCCTGCCTGGCCTCGCAGAGCGTCGCCCTGGACCCCTGCGGGCCTTGTCCCCTCATCCAAGCCCTCTGCGATCTGCCCGCTGAGGCCCAGGTCCCTCACCGCCACCCACAGAGCCCTGCGCCCTCGCGACCAAGGCCCTCTCAGGACTCCTTCTCTCTGGTCAGTCCCCTCCTGACTCCCAGGGAGCACCCCCTTCCTTTGAGTCCCTAAAACTCCCCGTTTTCCATCATGGCCCCTCAGTCTGCAGCCCTTAGGTCAGTCACCCCCATTAGTCAGCAACCCCGCCCCCAGACCGTCCCCTGGCCAAGACTTCTTGCACCTGAGGTGGCTTCAGGGTACCAAGGCGCTGTGCTGCTGTCCTTTGGACAGAAGGGGTTTTGGCCAGGCTGTCCAGGCCTGGGGTGACTCAGACAGGGTGGCCAAGCTTCTCAGAGCCCCCCAGGGCACAGCAGCTGAGCCAGGCCCAGCTTTGAGTCCCTCTGAGACATGCCACCCCCCAGCTCACATGACCTTGAGTAAAAGCCCTCTCCCCTGTCCCCAAAGGAACAAGACCTGGATTGTGCAGGACCCTCCTAGTCAGGGAACCGAGACCTCAGGACCTCTCTGGTGGCCATCCCTGCCGGGCACTGGGCCCCTGGTCCCCGCCACCACGAAGGGATGCATTGGGAGGTGCAGACCCCACCTGCATTTGCCACCTTAGATGCCCTCAGGCCAGTGGGGATGGCGTCACTGAGTGCACTGCTCTAGTTAGCCATGAGAGAAATGTGAAGTTAGCTGGACTCAGGGTAGCCCAGGCCGGCTCCTCCCAGCTCCTCCCGAGCCAAGAAGTGCCTTGGGTAGAGTCTGGGTACAGTTTGAGTTTGTCTCCAGCTTGAGAAGATTTCGGGATGTGTCACCAGGGTTCTGTCCTGGCATCCGGTGCCTTTGGTGGCCCTGAATGTCCTCTCAGACCCCACGGAGGACCTGGTCACTGTGACTGTGGAGAATTGTCAGAGACTGGGCCCCAGGCACTGTCCCCAGCCATATCCCTGTGAGCTATCCTAGGTCGGGCTCCCAGCTCACAGGAGGGAAACTGAATTCCAAGGACATTGTCACTTTCCTGCGTCACACTCCGAGGGTCTGACTCTGGTGCTGTCCTTGGGACTTTCCCCACACGTCCACACTGAGGAAGAGAAAAAGGGGTCTTGACGAGGGACAGTCGTCATGTTAACAGGCCTTCCGCACGCTGCCCTCCACATTCTTCCTCACCTCCAGACTTCAGAAGTGTCCACACTGTGCTCTGAGGAAAGACAGGAGAGAAACCCCAAGGAATCCCTGGCTGGGAGTCATGTTAAGCACACAGCGGCCTGAACAGGGCCCAAGGCACAGGCCTAGGGAACAGGGAGTCCCGGGAGTCCCGCTCGGCCTGGGCTGGGAGTCCCCATGTCCCAGAAGTTGCTTCCAGGGACTCGGGGTCAGGATTTATACATCTGATTCCTGGATGTCAGTGACAGCCACTTATGAGGCAGAGAAGCCCTTTCCTGGGGCCAGTCCCCAGGGCCAGGCCGGAAGCCCGTCTTCAGGACATCCAGAGCTGAGGCCATCACTGTGCTTTTGGGCTTCTTGTTGGTGGAGATGGCAGTTTTCTGGTTCTGATGTTTGTTTGCTTTTGTTGTTTGTTTTTGGTTTTTCGAGATAGGGTTTCTCTGTGTAACAGTCCTGGCTGTCCTGGAACTTGCTCTGTAAACCAGGCTGGACTCCAACTCAGAGATCCGCCTGCCTCTGCCTCCCGAGTGCCAGGCAGTAGTGGCGCACACCTTTGATCTCAGCGCTCAGTCTAAAAGTGTATGCCACCACAATGACGTTAAATTTTTGCTGTTGTTTTTTAGACAGAGTCTCACTCTGTAGCCCAGAGAGTGGTCCAGAATTTACTACCCCCCTGCCTCAGTCCAGCTCTGGTCTCATCACAGCTGATTTTCACAACGGGATTCTTTTCCTTCATTGTTCTCCTGTATATGTGTGCAGTACCTGCAGAAGCCAGAAGAGGGCGTCGGGCCACAGAGGGTTGTGAACTGCCATGTGGGTGCTGGGAACTGAACTTGGGTTCTCTGCAAGATCAGCCAGTACTTTAACCTTCAAATTACCTCTCTAGCACCCCACCTTGAGTTTTTTGAGACAGGGTCTGTTACAGGTAAGGATGGGGCAGGAAGAAGACGAGGCTGAGGTTCTGAGTCGTTTGCACTGGTGTGGAGCAGGAGCTGGGTGGAAGCCAGGCCTGAAGTGGGACCCTGAGCCAGTGCAGAGTGTGCGCGTTTCCTGGTCTCATCAGCACTGTCTCCAAACTCAGAGTCCCCTTGGGACCTCTGGGCCTTGGAGCTGAGGGGTTGGCAGCAAGTTCCCCTGCAGAGTCAGCAGGGGCATCTGGGAGAGCCACCTGGGAGACACTTGGGTGGGATGCAGGAGGGACCAACACCTCCACGTCCTGACAGCTGGGACAGAGGGCTATCCTGGGCCCAGGTGGCTTCCCATGTCTCACTGTCCCTTCTCCAACAGGGTCGGTCTGGGGTTCTAGCAGCCGGCCCTGTGCGCCCAGCCGGCTTCGGAGAAGATGCCGGAACAGAGCAACGACTACCGCGTGGTTGTGTTCGGTGCAGGCGGTGTGGGCAAGAGCTCGCTGGTGCTCCGCTTTGTGAAGGGGACGTTCCGTGACACCTACATCCCTACCATAGAGGACACGTACCGACAGGTGATCAGCTGTGACAAGAGCGTGTGCACACTGCAGATTACGGACACGACCGGCAGCCACCAGTTCCCCGCCATGCAGCGGCTGTCCATCTCCAAGGGCCACGCCTTCATCCTGGTGTTCTCGGTGACCAGCAAGCAATCGCTGGACGAGCTGAGCCCCATCTACAAGCTGATCGTGCAGATCAAGGGCAGCGTGGAGGACATCCCCATTATGCTGGTGGGGAACAAGTGCGACGAGACGCAGCGGGAGGTGCACACCCGCGAGGCGCAGGCCGTGGCACAGGAGTGGAAATGCGCCTTCATGGAGACCTCGGCCAAGATGAACTACAACGTGAAGGAGCTGTTCCAGGAGCTGCTGACGCTCGAGACGCGCCGCAGCGTCAGCCTCAGCGTGGACGGCAAGCGCTCCAGCAAGCAGAAGAGGGCTGACCGCATCAAGGGCAAGTGCGCGCTCATGTGAGCCGGCCAGAACCGGCTAGGGCCTCCAGGGCTCCTGCTCCCCTCCCCCTCCCTCTTTCCCTCCCTCCTTCCCTCCTTCTCTTGCTCCTTCTCTCTACTCCCCTTCTTTCCTTCCTCTCCTTCCTCCCCTCTCCTTCTGCTCCTCCTCCCTCCTCCTCCTTCCCCTCCCATCCCATTCTTCCTCTTACCCTCCCTCTTCTTCCTTCTCCGCAGCTTCCTCCATCTCTCTTCCCACACTACCAGCCCACAGTAGGGTTGAGCTCCACCCCAGTCCCTTCACACCTCCATCCGCTATCAACCCTTGCTGACACCTCCCCCTTTCTCTCTGTCCACGCCCCCCCCCCCGTTCTATCTGAACCCCACATTCCAGCAAGGACCAGAGCGGCTGCCTTGCCTCTTAGTCTCTGTCCCTTTCCAGGGGTGTTCCCAGTCACACCCACACCCTGTCCCCCCACATTCTATCACTGTGACCTCTTACTCACATCTTCTTCCCTCCACCTGGTCCTGTCTGTTCCCTGTGACCCCTGACCTGAACCCTTCCCTGGGTCCAGAACACACCCAGTCCTCTCCTGCAGCACACCAGGGTGGATGGGCCCACGGGCTGGGCCTCAGGCCACCAGGCAATAAACAGAGCCTGCAGCAATGCCCTGCCAGCCCCAAGCGCCACCCCTGGAGCAGCAGACACCCACAGCACAAGCCCAGGTCTGTCCTCAGCAGAGGCACAAGGGGACCAGAGCCTGGAGTATGGGATGGCTGCCTGGAGGCTACCCATCTGGACACTGGCCTTCTACGGAGACAGTAGTGCCTCAACGGTGACCCCAAGTTGGGGTTTGGGGTGCCCAGCTGAGAGCTCATTGGTGAAGCCCCCGCGTGGGGCAGTGGGACTAGTTCCCGCTGCCGCAGGGCCCTGACAGACCCTGAGCGCCTTTGCTGGTTGTTCGTACCCAGAGACCGTTCCCCGCGTGTGCCCTGAGTCCTGGAGCCTCTGTGGTATCTGCGAGACTGTCTAGGACACTTGAGTGGCACTGGCTCCTGGGCCTGTGTCCCACCCACATGAGGGTGACTGTAGAATCCTATGTTCATGTGACTTCGTGTGTGTGTGACGGGTGTGTGTTTGTCTTGGGATGGAGTGTTTCTGTGCCATTCTGTGCCCTTAGCGAGAGCACAGTGCGGACGGTGGCCGGGAGAGCGGCCTGTGTGTGGCTGTGGAGGGTACCTAGACATCGTGGTCTTCCTGTATGGACTGTGTGTTCAGGAGTGGGCAGCAGTGGATCTGACAACCTGTCTGTTTGGCCGTCTGAGGAGCACCAGGTCCTGTTCCAGGCTGTGGCAAGCTGGCCTGTGGCTCAGTCAGCTAGTGTTGTGGAACAAGAGTCAGAGATGCTGGCACTGGGCCTCAGTGCGTGTAGTCTTTACCTCTCGGGGACAGCAGGCCAGGCTGGGGCTGGGGCAAGCTGGGTCCTCTGTTGTGTGTGTGTGAGAGAGAGAGAGACAGAGAGAGGCAGAGGGCCAGAGAGGCAGAAAGACAGCTGCAGCCGGATGCCAAGGGGGGTCCAGACCTCAGTGGGGTCTCTGTCTCCTGCACACAGGGCGAATCACAGCCTGAAGCCTGAGTGTGAGTGTAGCTGAGCCCTGATCTCCAGCCAGGCCACGGCCCCCACAGCCGCTGCCTGTTCCCTAGCCCCGGGAGTGGCTCCTGGCTGGACAGGGGGTCACAGCCCTTTCTCAGGGACACACCCTGATAGCACAATCTCTGGGCCATCCCAAGCCTCTCCTGGCTGGCCTTGCCCATCCTGGGAACCACCAGGCTGGGTGGCAGAGGAGGCGGGAGCCCGCCCTGGCTGCCGGCCAACCTGCCCAGGCTTTTCTGGTGCTGGGGACCCCGCCAGGCCTCGCTTGCTGTGACCCATCCCTGACCCCCGCATGTGGGAGCCCCGGCCCGTGTGGGGTCTGTGTACGTTCGCTGTAGACCTTGTCTTCCGCAATAAACATGTGGATCCTGCCTCCCCTGTTGCCGTGGCTTCTGTGCACCACTAGGGAGGGCCGGTAACGGGGTGGAGATGGAGGAGATGGGGGGTTGTAATGGATGGAGCACCCAAGGCCACAAAGAAGCTTACTGGGTCAGTGAGAGCACCCACCTTTCCTGCCTAGTCTCTGCCCAGGGCAGACTGGGAAAGCTTGTGGGCTCACTGTGTAGTTAGCACCACTCAGCTGGAGCCACTGAGTGTGGTTACTCCCACAATCCCTCCCTCTGATCCCAGAGGCCACATAGGGAGGCTAAGAATAGTGACTGCTCCTGCCAAGGAGCCAAGGTCAACTCCAAGCAGCCCTTTAACAAATCGGGCTTCCTGAAACCCAGCCATGGGAGCCTAGAAGAAAGAATCTGCTTTCAGTCTAGGACAGAAATCACAAGGTTCTGTCTCCAACATTTGGGGAGGCGGGGGAAGACCCTGCCTCAAAGAACTAGGCAGAAAGTGAAAGGGGAGGTCATTGACACCCCCTCACCGGCCTCTGCCGTGTGCACATGTACATCAGCACACATGCACACACATGTGCACACACACGTATGTGTAAACAGAACAGCACATAGAAACAAAACCTTCAAACAGCACAACAAAAACAGGAACAAAGGAGGGGCTGGAGAGATGGCTCAGTGGTTAAGAACACTGCCTGCTTTTCCAAAGGTCCTGAGTTCAATTCCCAGCAACCACATGGTGGCTTGCAACCATCTGTAATGAGATCTGGTGCCCTCTTCTGGCCTGTAGACAGAATACTGAGAATACTGTATACATAATAAATAAATCTTAAAAAAAAAAAAAAACAGGAACAAAGGAAAAAGGGCAGGACAGAGCCTAGACTCCCCGGTGAGGGGATGGGGGCGTGGTCAGGGTGGAGCCCCACCCAGGCAGTATGATGCCATAGACGCCATGCTCAGAACTGGGTGGCTCACAACCATCTGTAATGAGGTCTGGTGCCCTCTTCTGGCCTGCAGACATACATACAGACAGAATATTGTATGCATAATAAATAAATAAAATATTTTAAAAAAAGAATGTATTTCTCTTTCATATGCTTTGTCAAATATGGCTGTACCTCATTTGGTTGCTCACTGTCCTGGCATTCATGAAGCCCTGGGTGCCATCTTTAGTTCCAAAAAACTGGGCATGATGTGGTGTTCATAGGTGCATGCACACAGACACACACACACAGAGGCATGCACATGTATGCACACACATGAATGCTGGAGGTGGAGCAGACCAGTCGCTCCAGCTTTGCAGTGAATCAGAGGGCGGCCTGGGTGGTGGTGGCACACACCTTTAAATTAACCCCAGCACTCAGGAGGCAGAGGCAGGCGGATCTCTGAGTTCCAGCCTGGGCTACAAGAGCTAGTTCCAGGACAGGCTCCAGAGCTATAGAGAAACCCTGTCTCGAAAAATAAAAACAAAACAACAAAAACAAAAACACACAAGAAAACAAAAAAATCTATAGTTTATGTTAGTACGGGCTTGGAACTCACAGTGATCCTGCTGCCCCAGCTTCCTGACCACTAGGAGACAGTGAGCATCATCATAGCATCCATGGTGATTTGTGTGAACATTTATCACGTGTGTGCACATGTGTGTGCCGGTCAGACACGGAAGTCCGTGTTCTCCTTCCAACACGTGGGCCATGGGCCCTGGAGCTTGAACTCAGGCCTCACACTTTGCCGTCGTCCATGCACTGAGTGTCTTGCCGGTCCTGGTGTAATATTTTGGTTTGGCTTTTTGAGAGGTATAATGTTTTGTTGTTGTTTTCCTTTTGTTTTTCCAGACAGGGTTTCACTGTGTAGCCCTGGCTGTGCTGGAACTCACTCTGTAGACCAGGCTGGCCTCAAACTCGGAGATCTGCCTGCCTCTGCCTCCCGAGTGCTGGGGTTAGAGGAGTGTGCCACCACCACCCAGACGAAGGTTTTTAAAGATGACAAGAATCATAGAAACGGGCTGACGTGGTGGCAGCCACACCTTTAATCCCAGCACTCGGAGGAAGACGGAGGGGTGGATTATGCCACGGCCTGTCTGTGAGTTTGAGGCCAGCCTGATCTACTACGTAATGAGACACTTAAAAAAATAACATTAAACGGGGCTGGAGAGATGGTTAAGAGCACTGGCTGCTTTTCTAGATGACTGGGGCTCCATTCCCAGCACCCAGGCTCAAGGGATCCCATGCTCTTTTCTGACCTATGTGGGCCTTCTACAACATGGTATACACAGAGAGAGACACACACACACTCATACACGTACATAGAGGCAAGACATCAGCACATTATGGAAAAAAATAAAACAAAATAAAGTAAATCATGGAGATGGAAGAGTGGTGGAGTTCGACCCCTAGGAAAGTGGGTGTGTCCACGGCAATAGCTGTTAGGGCTCCTTCTGGTGGCAGCTTGGCGCAGTCCTGCCTTCTGGGTCTACTTAAAAGTGCATGCAAAAAATGTGTAATTTTTTTGTGAAATACATTTTAGAAAATTTATGTGTGTGCGCACGCGTGTACGTGCACGACTATGTACGCTTGCTCTAGCATGTGTGTGGAAGTCAGACAACTTGTGACAGTCGGTTCTTCCCGTCCATTCTATGAGCCGTGGGAATTGAACGGGGTCCTCAGGCTTGGTGGGACATGCTTTTCCGGTTTAGTGCTTTTATTTATTTGTTTATTCATTTATTTACTTTTAACTTATGAATATGTATGCCTGCGTGAGGATGTCGGATCCCCTGGAACTGGAGTTACAGACACTTGTGAGCTGTCATGTGGGTCAGGGAAATGAACCCCGAGTCCATCTGGAAGAGCAGCCAGAGCTCACAATCTCTGAGCAATCAATCTCTCGAGCATTAGTTAGTTTTTGAAACAGGGTCTCCTGCAGCCTGCTTCAGTGACCTCAAACCCGGGGCAGTCCTCATTCCCCTCATTCCTCATTCTCCTAGGTGTTGGAGCATTAGGTGCGTGACATCAAACCCAGCTCTGCATCTAAACCACATCACCTGGTGGGCCACAAACAGGTGACTTCTACAGTGGTTCCTGTTGAGGGTCTGGGAACAGCCTGGGTGGGCTTGCCAGTCCGGAAGGGAAGAACGCGACAGGAAGGTCCTGAGTTTCTCTGCACAACACGAGCCTGTGTGTGTGACCGCACGGTTGCTTCAGGGATGCCAGGATCCCAGGGGGCCCAGCGGGCAGACTGGCAGCTGGTAATCACAGAACGTCAGTCCAGAGAAATCTGAGGTCACCCACCAAGAGGCCCCCGATTTCCTTCAGGGACATCCCAGACATTTCTACAGTTCCAGGGGAGCTCGGGGACAAAGCAGACCCGCGCTCGGTCTGGGGCATGATTCCCTGGTTCCACCGCAGCACACAGGAGGTTTGCAGTCAGTCTTGGCTCCACAGAGAGTTCAAGGCCAGCCTGGGCAGTTTAGTGCTCTTTCTCAAAATAAAAAAGAGGGGCCGGAAGGTTGTGGCGCACACCTGTAATCCAGCACTCGGGAGGCAGAGGCACATGGATCTCGGTGAGTCCGAGGACGGCTTCATCAGAGGAAGTGGCAGGACAGCCAGGGTTATGTAGAGAAACCCTGGCGGGTGTGTGTGTGTGTGTGTGTGTGTGTGTGTGTGTGTGTGAAGGAAGGTGAGGGAGGTTGGCTGAGGCCATGACCCAAGCTCAATAATACAAAAATAAAAAAAATTCAACTAATATAGAGAGAAAAATAGAGATAATACAGAATTATACAAGCAAATGAAAAATTGTTACTAGCGCCATCATAACCTGGGTCCCCGCTCGAATTCGAACTCGAGCCTCGAAAACCACAGGCAGGCGTGCCTCCTGCCCCTGGCTCTCCCGCTTGGGTTCCGTACACACACACACACACACACACACACACACACACACACACACACACACACACACACACGGGTGTTTTTCTAAAGCAGGTGCGAAAGCGGTGGGCAGCGGGGGTGGATACTACCACAATACGTGATACTCGTGCGTGAAAACGTCATAATGAAACCCATTATACTGCACAATGAATACACACCAATAAAATAAGCGCAAACAAAACAAAACAAAACACAGGCCTGATGTCACGCAGCCCCTCTTTTGAGAGGCCCCTCCCAGTGCACCATTCTTGCCAATCTTAGGCAGCGTAACCCCGCCCTCAAGTTCACGAATGGCTTCTGGATGTGCCACTCCTGGATATGCCTCGCCCACTCACACCCGAAGCCCCGCCCCACTCCCCAAGGCTAAGCCTACCAGGCTGTCGGCCCAAAGCTCCGCCTCCGGCCCCAGCCTCCGCCGTCCTGGCTTCTAATTGGTCTGGATGTTACAGAGGCGCCGCCCTTACCGCGGAGGCCCCGCCCCGTGGAAGAGCCCTCTCCAGGCCCCGCGGTGCGTTTGGCTGAGAGGCGGCTGAGACACCGGCTGGAGACAGGTGAGCTGGGCGTGCTGAGGAGAATCGGGGTGCATAGAAGAGTGGGTTGCATCGGAGAGGAGTGAGGTGCAGCCAGGGACGATTGGAGCGCGGTCGTGGAAGAGTGGGGTGCAGTCAGAGGAATGGGGTGCATTTAGGGGGGAATAGGATGAAGTCAGACAAGAGTGGGGTGTATTCAGATGATAGGAGGCATGCGATGAGTGACAGAAGGGTGGGGTACAGTCAGGGGAGTGGGGTACATTATGAAGGAGCCAGGGAGGAGTGGGCAGCAGTCGGGGACGAATAGGGTACAGTTGGGGGCGAGTTTGTGCGGTAGGGGAGGAATGGGGTCCAGTCAAAAAGGAATGGGGCTCTATCTGTTTGCTGTCTAATTGCACATGGGACCAGCACCTTGGCCGCAAGGACCTTTCTTCCTCTCAGGGACAGAGGTCCACAGGCTTAGATCTTGGGGTGCACGAAGCTCCAATGGCTGTCTTAGAAACTTCCTGTGGGAGTTTTAGGGGCAATGATGTTAAGGCGTGTGGGTGTACACCTCTGCTGCTGGCGGATGTGGGGCTCTTGGTGGTTGGGGGTGCAGTGATGGCTGAACTGGGGCTGTGGGGTTCTGAGAGCCTGCGACTGTTGCCTCCAGGCCCTGTCCTCTCAGTGGCTTTGGGACTCTGGTCCTGATGTTCCCACGGTCCTCCCAAAGGAGTGCAGTAGCAGCTAGCCTTGGGCAGGTTCCCTGCAGTGTCCAACCAGGGATTTCTGGGCTGAGTGCTATCCTGGTGCATCAAGAAGGCTGTGAGGGCCAAGGTGAGTGTGAGGTCAGGTTGTCACTGAAAGACAAAAAGGAATGGCCCTTGACCCCACCATGCCACCTCGGTTTGAGGCCAGCCTGGGCTACGTAGTGCAGTGTGTTCCAGGACAGACAGCGCTTCGCAGTGAGACTGTCTCTGAATCACAACAGTTCACTGACAGCTGGGTGTGAGGTTACCTTCTAGCCTGGGTGACTGCTGAGGGGACATTGGGTCATATTCAGGGTTCTGTGTGGCCACCTCAAATCAGGGAGGCCTTGACATGCAGTGGGTGGAGGCCTGAGATTCTACACAGCACTTTGAGAGCCCAGAGCGCCCCCTCAAGAATGAAGGGCCGGAGGCCATGCACAAAGCCTAAGAAACAGCCCGCTAGCTGAGAGCTACCCAGTCAGGTGAAGGTGTGTGGATCGGGACAGCGCTTCCCAGATTCCCCCAAGGAATCTGAGTCCCTGCAGAGCTGGGACTCAGGCATGCGATACCATACGATATGATTCCCAGCCACCCATACCGTGGCTCTTCCAGGTGACTTGCTTTGTTTTGCTTTTTTATTTATTTGTTTATTTATTTATTTAAGATTTCTGTCTCTTCCCCACTGCCGCCTCCCATTTCCCTCCCCCTACCCCAATCAAGCCCCCCTCCCTCGTCAGCCCAAAGAACAATCAGGGTCTCTGCCCTGTGGGAAGTCCAAGGACCACCCACCTCCATCCAGGTCTAGTAAGGTGAGCTTCCAAACTGCCTGGGCTCCCACAAAGCCAATACGTGCAGTAGGATCAAAAACCCATTGCCATTGTTCTTGAGTTCTCAGTAGTCCTCATTGTCCACTATGTTCAGCGAGACCGGTTTTATTCCAGGCTTTTTCAGACCCAGGCCAGCTGGCCTTGGTGAGTTCCCGATAGAACATCCCCATTGTCTCAGAGTGTGGGTGCACCAATCGCAGTCCTGAGTTCCTTGCTAGTGCTCTCTCTCCTAATGCTCCTGATTTGGACCTTGAGATTTCAGTCCGGTGCTCCAATGTGGGTCTCTGTCTCTGTCTCCTTTCATTGCCTGATAAAGGTTAATATTCAGGAGGTTTGTTTTGCTTTTGAGACAAAGTCTTCGGTAGCCCAGGCTTTCTCCAAGTCCATACTGAGCTCAGGGAGACCTTGACTCCTGATCCTCCTGTCTCTTTCTTGAGTGGTGGGATTACAGGCATAGGTCTGTGTAGCCCCCACCTTTTTCCCCCTTCTGAAACAGGGTCTTACTATGTAGCACAGCTGGCCTGGAACTCACAGAGATCCCCCTGCCTCTGCCTCCTGAGCGCTGGGCTTAAAGGAGTGGCCACAACACCCAGTTCCCTGAACTTTAAGTTTGTGGGTAATTGTAACTGAGCCTGCATTGCAGGCACAGAGTTCTACCCAAACTTCTGTTTCGTGAAGGGTCTTGGGGTGCCCTAAAGATTGCGGTGCATTTCTTGAACATGGGGTCCTGGAGTGCAGAGCCACAGCCCAGGGGACTGATACCTGTCTACACAGCGCAGAATCGTTTCTCTCTGCACACTGAGTAGTAACAGAAAAAGTTGCCCCTGCCAAGGCATTGCCCCAGGTTTTCTCTTTGTGTTCAGAAATAGTGACTGTTTGAAATGACATTCACTGGGTTGGGGACGTGGCCTAGGCATGCACCGGGCCCTGGATGCTGCTCCCAGTCATTAGAAAACCACACATGATCCCAGAATCAGGCAACTCTCTGTGGGTTTGAGGCCAGCCTGGGCTACGTAGCGAGACACTGCCTCCGTCGGGGTCGAAGACCTTGGAACTACCATAACCACCTCACATCCACCGGTTGTCAAGCCTGTGAAAGACCGGTCCTTTCCTTAGTTCCTTTCTGACTGGTGTGACTTCACCGTCACGCGGTCCGACAGGTCATCGCTTGTTTTTCTTCCGTGGAAGGTTCGTCCCACGCTGGCTTCCAGTAATGATTGATCCCTGCAATGCCAGGGTCTAGTGGCTTTTGGCGCTTCCTGGACTCAGGCCTGGCTTCTGTTCTTGCATCCTGTCACTGTCCACCCCTGTAAGTGTGAAGGCAGAAGCCACGTGACAGAATGGTAGACACCTTAACTGCTTTGTGGACGGGCCCCCGCTCTCCCTGCTCCCGGGAGACCTGTCCTGTCTTCCTTATCTCCATCTGGGGGAGCAGGGGAGAGGCTTCTAAAATGGTTACCAGTGTCTTCCTGAGGCTCTGAAAAGTAGATGATCTGATCGCTTCTCCTATTTTAAACGCAGGTCTGATCTGCATATTTTAAAATTCACCATTTGAAGCATAATAATTCAAGTTTTCCTGAGCATCTCTGCACAGCCATGATCTGTGCATGACAGTCTGGGACTGTGTCCTCACCCCAGGTTGGTGTCTCCTCCCCTGAGCCGTCACTCTGCCCCTCCCAGCCCCTGGCACCTAAAACACCTTCCTCCTGGACGCTCCTGGAGCTCCATGTCCTTAGGGAAGCTTTCAGAGCCCGGGCCGGCTGTGTGGGTGGACCACACTGCATCTCCAGGTCACCAGGACTGTTTCTGTCCTTCCTTGTGACCTGTGACATGGAGTGATGGTCCTGTCATAGGTGACTTACTGAACTGAACTTGGGCTGTTCATTGTTTTTTCTTTCTGAGGGTGAGAGTGTAAATTTGTCTGCTTCCTGTCCTGATCTTTTTCATCTCAAAGCTACAACACTCAGAGCTGTGTCCCCTTGGTGGGGGCCATTGAGACCTGCTTTCTTTGATTCTTCATTATCAGGTCAACAGCTAGCGGTTGGCGTCAGGGCCTCACTAGGACCTTACTGGCCCTCTGGAGACCCTCGGCTAACTGCTACTGTTATTCTTTCGGTCCCTGCCCTAGCCACGCCCACTCCCATAACCTCTGACCTGCCCGTCGCCATCTTGGGACCCTTCCTCTTTCTGCTTCCTTGGCGTGCGCACACGTTTTCTCTGTCTCTCTCTTCTTTTGTCTCTCCTCTCTCCTTTTATCTCTTTTCTCTGTCTTTCTCCCTCCCTCTTCCTTAATAAATACTTACGGCCATTTCCTGTGTTTACGTGTCTGTTACCTGCCGCCACCGTGGGCCAAGGAAGCGTGCCCTCCTGTAGCCGCTTTCTCATGGCGGGCTCCGCCAACCCATCCAATAATCGTTTTTTAAGAATAACAAATGGTGCCGTGAATCATTTTTAAGAATAACAGCTACCACCCCAGCTCCACCCACCCCCAAAGCCCCGTCACTCCGAGAACATTCCTTTCTCAGTCCAACAAAGGCGCTTAGTCCTTGTTGGCCTGTTCTGAACCTCAGAACCCAAGCCAGGTCCCAAAGTCACGTGATCTGAGGAGCGTGTGTCTGTGACTGTGTATGTGTGTAGTGTGTGTGTGGTGATGTGTGGTGTGTCTGTATGTGTGTATGTGTGTGTCTGTGACTATGTGCATGTGTTTGTGGTGTGTGGCATGTGTGTTGTGTGTATGTTGTGCGTGTGTTGTGTCTGTCTGTGTGTGTGGTGTGTGTATGTATTTATGTGTGTCTGTGACTGTGTTTGTGTGTGGTAGTGTGTGGTGTGTGGTGTGTGCGGTGTGTGTGGTAGTGTGTGGTGTGGTGTATGGTGTATGTGTGTGTGTGGTGTGTGTGTATGATTCTTTGTGTGTGGTGTATGTGTGTGTGGTTGTGTGGTAGTGTGTGGTGTGTGTGTGGTGTGTGTATGTGTGTGTGTGGTGTGTGTGTATGTGTGTGTGTCTGTGACTCTGATGTGTGTGTGTGTTTGTGGTGTGTTGGTGTGTGGTTGCATATGGCCTGGGGCGGTGGATAGAGGTGGGAGGCAGGACTCTGCTGTCTCCCAGCATTTGGAGACTTGGTGCTCTCAGGCCTAGGGACACACTAGGTATATGGGACTGAGCTGCCTGTCATTCCAGCACTTGGGAGGCAGAGGCAGGAGGATCATGGGTTCCAGGCTAGTCTGAGCTCCACAGTGAGATCTTGCCTGAAAACCCAAAGCCGAGGGCTGGAACATGCTCAGCTGTGAGACCGCTGGCTGCACAGCGTGAGGACAAGTTCAGATCAACAGCCGGCAGGGCCACACAGATGTCGAGGCCCCTGCTGCTTGCTGGCCTCCAGCTGAGCTCCGGAGCTCTTGGCTCAAGGAAATAAGGCAGAGGGATCGGAGACAATGCCCGCATCCTCCTCCAGCTCCATCTGTGTGC